TACATTTTACACTTCAAACACTTGTAATGTAATTTTTTTTTAAAAAAGGTACCACTTTACAATAAGACCCCCCTTATAGATGGCTTTTAAAGAGTTCATAGCTTATTAATTAATCTGTAAACACTTAAAAATGTTTTATTATACAATAATTAAGGACTAGAGACAAAATTATCCAAGTTTCATTTATTAATGATTTATGAAGTGTAAACTTTACAAATAACCTATAAACTCTTTATAAGCCATCTATAAGGGGAGCTTGATTGTAAAGTGGTACCAAAAATCTTGCACAGTAAATTCTCCACCAGTTTTTCATACATTTTACTGCACACAGATAAAATATTTTAAACACACGTGAGAAAATCCAGCCATCATTTGTCAGTTGAAAGACTTTTTTACAGGATTGTTCACATTTTAAGAAGAGAAGAAGAACTCTGTCAGCTTGATTCATTCTGGACTTTACTATTTGACTCATTAGCGCCTCTAGTGTTTGAACATGGAACTGCATGAACCATCATCACCCCCAGGTAAAGGACAGATGAGTGACAGGACAGGGGCACTTCAGGGGGCCAATCAGATTTCAGCTGGCCCCGCCCCTAGAACCGCCCCTGTTGGTGTGTGAAATAGTAAATGTMTATATAATGAGCGGGCCAAGTGTTTCTGAGCATCACTAACAGATGAGTGAAAGTATTCATGTTTATTTCTTCTTGCTTTTTGTTTTTTAGTCCAGTGGTTTCACATGTGGTCAGGCTTCTGTCCTGAATTAGAACTGACAGGCTGGGAACAAACAACACATTTAGTCTGTAATATTTATAGTTTTTATATTTCAAACTTGTTCTATTCTTGTGAGTACAGAAAACCAACATTTTGTTCAAAAGCTCAAGACGGCAAAAGATAACCCTAGATGTGTAAACATACAGAAAACATTCATTCATTCAAACAAAGAATCAGCTGGATAGATGCAAGTCTAAACATGTAAAAAGGAAGAAGTGGGTGTGCACCACTGCACTCTGCTACCACCTGTTAGCCTTCAGCTCCTCCTCAGACATTCATGGACATCATGAGAAACTGTGAGGGAAAATTTAAAAAAGATGCTGTCAATTCAAAACAACCAGCAGGTAAATGTAGCCTGAAAACATAATTATTTAGAGAAAAGGCCGTCACCTGGGATCTAAACCCATTAAATGTTGTGTTCATGCTATGCTGTACTTTACTGTACGTTGCGTTAGCGAGGTGTAATGTTAGGAGTCTGAATAACTGCACAGCTGAGGTGTTACAAGTTACAATTTACAAAATGATAGCTAAAGAGATCCAAAACAGATAATGCTAAAATGATCCAAACAATAGCTACAATTAGCAAAGCAGATGATATCAGCAAGACTGATAAAAGCAGAACAGAAGCTAAAGGTGGTAAATGTTAGCTAAAACACTTAAAGGCTAATTAAAACTACAAGTAGCATAAGAGGACAAATTATTAATGACATGAAGACATTTCCGCATATCCTTACAGGGATATTTAAAGATATTTAGTAGAAATAAACTTGTAGAAATAAATAATGTAAGATCTGAGTTTTGTAACATCTCACGTGGAGTGCCTCAGGGTTCCATTCTCGGACCTAAGTTATTTATTTTGTATGTGAACGATTTGGTCAATGTGTCGGGTCTTTTTGGGTGTGTATTTGCTGATGATACAACATTCTTTTGTTCCGGTAAAGATACAGAACAAATGTTGGAGATGGCACAGACAGAATTTGTGAAAATACAAAGTTGGTTTTAACTA